AAAAAAAAAAAAAAAAAAAAAAGAAAAATAAAGAAAGAAGGAATGACTTATCCCTGTCATTCACAGAGTGAAGCGATCCAACTGTGCCCTTCCCCAATTTCCTCAAGGATGGAGATGACACCACTCCCTTCCCAGCACCCCAAGGAAAGTAAATTCATCTTTTCCCAGGTTTTGGCCGCATCCCACCCTCCAGCCTGGGGGATTTATCACCCCAAACTGGCCAGCAGCAGAGGGACATGAGGCCAGGGATGGAGGCACTGGAAAAATAAAGGAAACAATAAAATGTGGAGTGGGAAACAGGGAAGCAGCCAGATGGGGATCCCAAAAGAATGAATATCCCAAAGGATCCAGCAGCTCCACCTCCTCCTGCCCTGGGAAAAAAGCACCAAGCCAGCAGAAAGGAAAAAAGAAAACCAACAAAAATGAAATGTTTATTCCCACCTGGCGTCCCTTCCATGCGCTGCCGGCGGCAGGACGGGGCCGGACACCGCGGGGGTGACGGTGTCCCCTCGTCACCCCACGTGTCCCTGGCACATCCCAGCTCCAGGAAGGGCTGCCCACCCCCGGAGCTGAGGGACACAGCAGCAGTTTTGAAGGCAGGGGGGGTTCAGCAAGGCAGTCAGGGAAGGGGATCCCAGCGTGGCAGGGCTCTGCTGGAGCAGAGTTTCCTCGGATCCCCTTCCCTGTGAGGTTTGGATCTCTCAGGATGCCCCATGCTGGCTCCCAGAAGTCTTCTCAGGAGGAATTCATGCTCTCCCACTGCCTGAAAATGCGGAACACCTTGCAGGACTTCTCTGAGAGACTCTGGAAGAGATGGGGACAAAGCGACAGGCGGAGGTCAGGGCACTGGAGCGGGACCTGCGAGTGCCACTGGCAAAGGGCACAAGGAGAAACAGCAGCAAAAAAAAATTCCAAAATATCCCAGCTGGCTGGGGGACAGCAGCTCGGCCCTTATTTTCATAATCTCAACTTGCCAGGAGACTACAAGAAGCAGGAAAGGATTCCAAAAAGCAGAAAGGGACTTAAAAAAGAAGGAAGGGACCCCAAAAAGCAGAAAGGGACCCCAAAAAGCATGAAAGGATCCTTAAAAGCAGGAAAGAACCCCAAAAAGCAGGAAGGGAACCCAAGAAGCAGGAAAGGGACCCCAAAAAACAGGGATTCCAAAAAGCAGGAAAGGATCCTAAAAAG